CAGTTGACGCCGTGGCCCAGTCGACGCCGCGGCCCAGTTGACGCCACGGCCCAGTCGACGTCGTGGCCCAGTTGACGCCGTGGCCCAGTTGACGCCGAGGCCCAGTTGACGTGCACCGCCCGTTTTGGGTTCTGGAGATCTTTCGGACTGGCCTCAGGCCGTTTCCGATCGTTGCGCCCTGCTTGGCTGCTCCCAGGTTGTTCCTGGTCGACGGCAGCTTTACCGCATTGGCATTTTGGGCAAGGCCCTGCGTTAGTTTTGTCTAGTTCCTTCATTGTATTTTTCATGACCTCTTTTTTCGTGTCGATTAGTTGTTGGACCTTTCTTCGCTTCTGCTCACGCTCAGGCCTCGCATTTTCTGGAGATTTCCCCCCTGTCGGCGGCTGCGAGATCCAGCATTGAGATAATATGGCTTTCGAACCACTTGTACAATGTTTTTAGTACTGGCTCTGCATATTGTACCTCAATGAGGTCTTGGTCGGTGTTTGTCAGGTTTCGATCATCCCCCGAAAGTATTCGTAGATCGAATACCCCGATTTGGGCTCCCCTGACTTCTGGCGACTCCATGATCGCTTTGTTGACAGCGGTGTTCGGAACTTGTTTTGGTTCCATCATCGTACACCACGGTACTGTTAGAACCCCGCGCTTCATTTTGAGGCCCGCTAAGGGTTTGATGGTCTGCTTGGCGGTGTCCTCGACCGTCGGAGGCGTTTCGCTCTGAACAGCCGCGGCCGCCTCTGCTCTTACCAGATGACAAATGATGTGTGCCTTCATCTCTGGGTGCTGGTCGAGGTAATCGCTGATACCTGCAACTGTCTCAGAAATCGTTAGCCCTTCTCGGCAGACCGATTCTCCGAAAGTCACTTGACCAGCGAAGTTGGTGTAGAGGTCGATATTGGGCTTTCCTCTACGAAGCTTCCGCAGACCCTTGTCTGAGTAAAGTATAATACACGGACTCCGAGTAGCGTCTGCAAGTTGAGCCGCACCGATATTCATCCCTCTTATAGCCTGTGCGGTTTCCACGGCGCCAACTTCTATTGTCCGAGGGTTTTGTTTGTTTCCTCTAATTTGAGAGATATCTCTTCATTTTTCTCTTTCAACTCATCGAGTTGTGTATATAACTCTTCTATTTGAGTTTTTGCGGCGAGGAGCTCCGACCTCATCCTCTCTGCCTCCATCGAGTGGCCCATCGCATTTTCGTCGGCGACGAGTTTAGATTTGAGCACTTAATCCGCTCTAGATTTCAACTCACCGAAAACACAGCATTTTGTGGTGGAGGCGAGTATTCTTTCCGCCTCGGTGAGACAATTGCTGCAGGCCTTGAGGCTCATTTTGCGAATCAAGGTATTTTAGGCGGCGATCGACACACTCGATACTCACGATAGATGCCAACCGTTTGTAATGAACCGGGGATGTCGCGGCAGCACGTTGAACGTCGCGCACGTCTGTACGTTCAGAACATCCGAGGGGGGGCCAAGTGTCGGCCAAGTCAGTCTGTGAGAAGCGAGCGAAGTGCACGCACGAGAGCGGTCGAGGCGACCGACCGATCGAGTGCCAAGATTCGTGGAGGAAGAATAAACTGTGACCGTTTCGCCCAAGATACTGTTTTTTCCTGAGCTAGCTGTTATCCCAGCCAAGCCCCCAACCGTCTCTATTATAGCAGCGGTGGGATTGAGCAGCGTGCCGAGGGGAAAATTGAACTATAGTGAGGGGACTCGTGCGAGTCTCGTGTCTGCTGGGGTGACTGGAAACTTGGGTGTGTGGAAGAGTGAGCCGAGAATCAAGATGGCACAGGAGGAGGTTCCGATCACGTGGATGACGAGCAGACAGATGGATCCGGCCGCTTATCTTCGACCATTCTCTGGAGGTACCGTGGCAGTGGCTGACGCATGGTTGAAAGAGTTGAACCGGGCAAGACGAGTAGGCAGATGGACTCAACCCTACACCGAAAGCGTACTTTTCGCTAAGATGTCAGGGGCGGCGAGATATTTGCTCCTAGATCACGGGATGGAGTGTGAGACGTTTGAGGAATGGCAGGCGGCGTTCGAGAAAGCCTACATTCCGAAGGAGAGACAGAGGGAGTTGGTCGACGAATTCTACTGGGGCACTCAGGCCCGGGGCGAAGATGTGGAGATGTATGCGCGGAGCATGGAAAACTTAGGACGGGGTCTGAACATCGAACTGAAGGGAATCAAGGGAGTTATACTCACGGGACTGCTCCCGGAGTATTCGTTCATGATCTGCTCGCTGGAGTTGAGAGACCACGAGGACATTACTGAACTTGTTCGAGACATCAACGCGGCCATGGCGCAGCATGATAAGCGCTCCACGTTAAGGGCAGAAGTCGAGGGGCGACTGGCGAAGGGTCCGAGGTGTTATAACTGCAAGCGGGAGGGGCACCGTCAAGCGGTATGCCCGGAAAGAAGGATCGACCCAAGGGACAGCCGCGGGTACCCAACCCAACTGAGGGGAAGACCGGAAACGTACTACTACCAACCGCAAACCCCTGCTATGCAGCGCAGAGCTCCGCAGTACGGAGGGGTTGCAGGGGCGAGCGATTGGCGACTACTGGTGCCGGCATTGATGGGACCCGGGGTAGGCGTGACCGTCACGGGACCGAGGGGAATCGCCGAGCGAACGTCATACCCAAGAGCGGAGCAGACGACACCGATGGCGCCTTCAGGGAGAACGACAATGACTTGCTACAAATGCAATCTTCCGGGGCCCTTCGCTCGGGATTACCGTGAGGTTGGGAGCATTTCGGCGGAACCAACCGTGAAATTCGAACCGATCGATCCCTTCGGCCTGGATGAGGATAAGGGCTTGAAGGCGGTACTCGTGAATAGGCTTGAATGGGCTGCGGAGGTGGATACCGAAGCAGACGTGAGCGTGATCGCAGAGTCAGCAGCGGAGGCCTTGAACCTGAAGATTCAAGCCACTCCCATAACGTCTACCCGGGGAATTGGGGGCGGTTCGTGTAAACCTGTCGGGCAGGCCACGATTGAGCTGAGAGCAGACGACATGACGGTTGAGGACGTCCAATTGACAATTCTCCCGAGAAGCGCTATGCCGGTGGATGAGATTCTTTTGGGGAAGGATTTCCTGGACACGGGAATGGTCATCGATTGCATTCATCGAAGCTCGAACTGAAGAAACAGCAAATGGATTAGTCGTGTTGGAGGATGGACCGAATGAAGCAGCGGTTTGCAAAATGCAGGAAGGGAAGTTGGTGATTCCGGTGTGATGAACGTCGGGCAGGAAGAGGTCCACATCAGAGCGGGTCCGTCGTGGCGGGAGGAACGCAGATGGGAGAGGGAAGTTCCTTCGAGTATTAGTGGAAGGAAGCTACGATGAACCGCATCGAGGTGGGCGCTCCCTTCCCATCAACTGGGCTGACAGTCTCAATGCGGATTCTGGCAAACTCGGAATTCCACTCAGAAACCCGCGAAGAAAATTAAGGATCCGCGAGAAAAATTTGTCGCGTAGGAAAATAGACGTTTCGAAAAACTCCTACGTCACCTCCAATGGTCACGATGAGAAGATCGGGGCTCCGTAGACTGGGTAGAGAAAGGGATGAAAAGGGAATCAATAGTATACGCAATGATGTAGACGTCTGACTGGCGGCCGGATGGATTAATTCATGCTGCGCGATTCTCGAGTGCCATGTAGTTCGTTGTTGGGGAGACATCTGGAGGCGACGAAAAATGTTCTGGATTTTCAGTCCACGTAAGTCGGAGACGCGATCGTGCGGTATGATCCTTGGAAAAGCAAACTGTCGTTAGAAACTTGGATACTATCATCAGATAGAAGAAGTGATTAAGTGACTTATAGATATTGGCGGGGGGAAAATAACGAATCTAAAAGTGGGAGGTATTGCCTCAGGATAGGCACTCCTCAATGTTACGGAAATCGCTTTCAGAATCGAATTTATGTTTCGGGAGTTTGAAAAACACGATTGAATTAATCCAAGAAGAAAATGTGGTTCGATTCCAATCGGTATTCTCTGTCGGATCCGGTCCGAGTCTCGCTCAGTCGGTGAAAACCGAGCTAGCGCATCGGTACAGCCTCGCGAGACTCGCGAAACCTCGCCAGTGATTCACCGAGTTTACTTTGATTCACAATGGAATCGACGCTATCCTTCCGAGTTCAGGACCGTTTTGCTGATCGAAGTCTCCCCCGTTTCGAATCCGCTAACGCAAGACTGGATGACGTCGATGCACCCTACAAAAAATAACTCGCGCGGTGCTGTGGGAGCCACGAGACTTTCCTCCCCCTCACCTCGGATACTGCGCCATGATCGTCTTCTCGCATCCACCAATCGCCCCTGATCTGTCCCTCGTAAAGCTTAGATACATGGGAACTCTGACTGCGTCGAGCTATTGAATCTCATCAGGAATGTACCACTTCAGAGGAGAAGAAATTTATCACGGAATGTTGAAAAAGATCACACCGCAGGTCCAAGCTGCCTTGGGGTCCGTCGTTTCGATCCCGCCTGCGAAATCATGTCTTAAGCCCGAGGAGTCTGTGAGAGCTCGGGATTCCTACCCCGGCTGACACGCTCATCAGAAGAGATCACCTGCTAGCCTTTAAATCTGCCCTCTCCGAAAATCCCTCCCCCAAGAGAGAGACGGGTGGCGACTTCGAAGCTCGAGCTGAAGTACTCTTGAGGCGGTTCGAGAAATCATCACAAATGCTACCCACGTTCCCGTGCAGTTGATCTTCTGGAGCAGGATAGTGACAATTGTGGGCTAGAGCCCATTGTCTGTGCACTCCGAACGTAAGAAATAACGTTCTCAAGATTTGGGATTGTTCCCGTCAGTCGTAAAAGCTCGGAGAAGCGATATTCAGGTCGATTCCGTCCACATTCCGTCCAGAAGGAAGCCGCGGGCGACCCTCCGGTTGCTGAGAGGTCGAACTCCCTGGGTCTGTCGACGGATTCCGACTCCTTTCGTACTCCGATTGCTATCCAAACGTCGGGTCTCCATTGGTTGCCATACAGCATGTTGAGAATACTTTCTGGGTCGGTGAGGAGGAGCACAGTGGAATTTCTGGCCGTGAGAGCTTTATCGACTCGCCTTGACGACGCTGCTAAGCGACTGAAGACACTGCAAGAAGAGCCCGAAAACGATGTGAAACTCAGGATTTACGCTCTGTATAAACAGGCGACTGTGGGAGACGTCAACATTCCGAAACCGGGCTCTTTCGATTTCGTTGGAAAAGTCAAGTGGGTCGCGTGGAAGAAAATCGAGGGGACGCCCAAGGAGAAAGCAGAAGACGAGTACGTGGAGCTCGTCGAGTCGCTTCTCAGCAGTGAACAGAAGTCGGGCGCAACATCATCGACGATGGACTCATCAGTTCCCGGTATGGTGAAAACTTTCGAAAATGGAGTCCTGACAATCCG